CCCCAAAACCCCAAAACCCCAAAACCCCTTATAAAGAAAGCAAAATTGATTTTGTATAAGTTTTGTTTATATGGAGGATAGAGAAGTGGATATAGAAGAATTAGACAATTCGTCGGAAGAAATCATGATGGGCCAACAAGAACCTAATGACAAACCACTAGAGTATCATACTCTGGTATGTATAGAAGACCATAACAAGAAGGTCGATGATGAAGGTGGAAAGAGCGGACTCATGCATTACACAGGGAGTCCTTCTGATACAGAAATCAAATACTCCCAACTGATGCCTATTGAAAATGAGCCAGGGATTATTGCTGATCAGTCTAAAAGAGGCATGCATCATATGTTTTGTATTACCATGTACAATGAGCCTTACATTCAGATATTACAATCTCTCTCAGGAATCTATAGAGCTTACTTTGAACTGCTGGAAATCAACCAGAAAACATATGAAGACAAGATCTCAATTTGTATTGTTTGAGATGGCTACCCAATTTTTACTAAAGGGGATGAGAAGATTAACAACTGGCAAAGATATGAGAAGGCTGGCATTTATGATCATGATGCTCCGAGTAGTTATTGGGAGATAAACCAAGAGAAAGAAGGAAGTAGCAGAGATACTCATTTCAAGTACTCTGATGTGCCTTCTCTTTCAAAACTATCAAACGACTGTATTAATAATGATGATGGATCTTTTGGAAACAAAGACTCTATGATTTCTTTGGAAACTAAGAACATCGCCCACTGCTACTCTAGGTCCATGAGGTTTGAAGATTTCCTGAGTGGTCTTAGTGTTCAAGAACATCAAGGCTTCAAGATTGATAGCCTTGCAATTGGAGACTTTCTTTATGGTGATGATGAGGAGACAAATATCAAGAAAAGGAGGTTCTATTCTATGTCTATCGATGTGCATCTTGTTGTCAAGCATTTCAACAGAGGCAAGATTGAGAGTCATCTTTGGTTCTTCAAAGGCTTCTGTAACACAGTTCAACCAACCTTGACAACCATTATCGACGCCGGTACCATTCCCCTCTGGAATAGTTTGTCTAGAATGTCTATTTTTATGGAGCTGAATTACAATACTGGAGCTTGCTGTGGAGAAATAGAAGTGATGCTCAATGAAAAGCACGATGATGGTAGAGAAGTTTCTTTCTTCGAGAGCATTCTTCAAAGATCCCAGTACGTCGAATACAAGCTTTCTCACTATCTCGACAAGTCTGCTGAATCGTTGTTTGGCTACATCTCAGTCTTACCTGGAGCGTACTCAATGTTCAGATGGCAATGCATCAAAGGAGTTCCTTTGAACGAATTCTTGAAAGGGACAGTCATCTCCGACCCATCAAGGCCATACCCTTCTTGCTCTGAAGGCAACAAATTCCTTGCAGAAGATAGGATCATGCCCTTAGAAATAATATCTAAAGAAGACAAGCCATTCATTATTAGATATGTTCCTGGCTGTAAGGCTTATACTGACGCTCCGAGTGATCTTAAAGTGCTGATCAAACAAAGGCGGAGATGGTTCAATGGAAGTCTTTTTGCTACTTTATATGTGCTGAGGAATCCACGAAAAATTTACAGGAGAAGTGATAAATGGAGAGTTTGGCTATATTGGTTGTTCTTCTTGTACATGGCGATTAACACTTTAGCTGGACTTCTCATTGTTGGTCTGTACTATGCAGCCTACTCCATATTCTTGAGATCAGTGTTCTCAGAAGCAGAATGACCTGACTTATCCAAAACAGCAAATATTCTTGAGAATATCTACCTGGTTTTCACATTCTTTACATTGATCTTGAGCACCTGCGTTCGCTTGGAATGGTGCGATAGGCTCTTCAAAGCAATCGCTGTGTTTATGGGAGTCTTCTCAGTTTTGATGAGCGCTGCAGTGTTGATCTCGGTGATGAATCTAGAACTCAACTACAAGGTTTATATAGCCGTGGGAGGAGTTATCTGCACTTATGTGTTGCCAATGGTTCTTAACTTTAAAAGACTAAAGCTATTAAATTTTCTGAAAGGGACTATCTACATCTTTTTCATGACTCCAACGTACATCAACATCATGACCATTTACTCTATTTCGAATATCCACGATGTGACCTGGGGGTCTAGAGGCTCTGGAGATGGAGTCAAGCCAGAGAGTACAAGAGACAAAGCCCAGAGGATTGACTATGAGAACTTTAGATGTAACTTTCTAATTGTCTGGCTGCTTGCGAATATTGTGACTGGTTGGTGTGTTGTGTTTTTCTCAAGAGAAGATCAGACTGAGTATTTGTTCATTGTTATTTTGATTCTGGGAGGAATCATTGCACTTAAGATCTTTTTCTCCGTATTATATGAGATAAGGTTCTTGTGCAAAAATATTAGAATGAAAAACCACATCAAAAGGTACTTCATGCAGAAATTTGTTATAGCTCTTAAATATTTTTACCATATCTAAAAATGTCAAAATTTGTTTAAATCGCCTTTGAAAAGCTATTGCTTATCGTTCTCAAGATGTGAGCTAGTTTCTGTTTCTCTTCCATGGCTTGGCTCCTCATCACTCAGTTCCTCTCCAAAGATGCTCGGATATGATCCAAAAGAGCTCTTATATTGAGTTCTTACTAATTATATTCCATAATTTTGGTTAAATCTCAACGATTAAATTTAAGATTTGTTTAGAAATAAAAAAGAAAAGAAAGGAAAGATATTTAAAATAAAGGAAGATTCAAAGTCATTTGTGCATGATATAACCTGAAACAAGCTCCTTGATCAAACAAAGTAAGCTTATCCCTTCCCTCCTAAGCTAAAACCCCCACTAAATTACTCTAACCCTTCTCTAAACCCACCTACTTCCCCAAGTCCCTCTCACTCCTCTAGCGTCTACCAATCCCATGCCGACTCCCTCCACTCCAACCAAGACACTTCCATCCACAACGTGTGGCAGCCAGCTCCCCCCAATCCAAGCCCTCCCGACCAGATTCCTTCCTCCAAAGATGAAGAAGAAGAATTCCAAGAGGAGAATCCTCCTGTTGGAAATTGGGTTGACCCTCTTCATGGCTTGGAATAGTTCAATTGAAATTTTTGAGATTGGGGTTTTGGGGTTTTGGGGTTTTGGGGTTTTGGGGTTTTGGGG